TGATTTTTGACTTATGTTTTTTTTGACATTTCGACTCATTTAACTTGTGACATTACTCTTATGATAATTGGGAGATTTTGTGCTAGATTACACAGGTAGACACAGTAGGACAGAAGGTCTATAAGAGATGGAAAAACCCGCAGACGAGCGGAAGGGGGGGGGGGAGGAGAGATAGGCAGTCACGGAAGCCGGCGAAAGCTATGTAGTGAATGCAGATTTTTGTAGTAAGGTCTATTTTTCAAATAATTCTGCTTATTGAAGGTGCTAAAAGAAGTTGCTGCTGCCGGCTGGAAGTATTTCAGTCATGCATCACAAGGAGCTAAGCAGAGTTTGAACGAAGCTGAACAGGTAGCTTGCCTTCTTCAATTGCTTGATCAAAAAATGTATAAATGAACTCCGGCGTACAACAGGTTCTGTCGCGGTTCGTTCGTTCGACATCAATGCAGGCGAAGCAGTTCGATTTGGAGTCAATCACTGATGCAGATCTGAAACGTCAACTTGGTTACGTAGCTTTTGAAGGAATGTCAGCTTTATCGCCGGCTGAATACACAGCGTTCAATCAGGCACAAAACATGGTACGTGGCTTAATCGCCCTTGGAATTTTTGACTGTTTTTGGAGAACCTCGACTTCTCTTTAGACCTCCAGCAAATAAACTACCTCAGAAAACACCCGCAACTCTCGCCCTTCGTGTGCGACGAAACATTGCCCACAATCGTTCATTGCTCATACAATCTAATAAATGATCCGCCGCTTTACATTAGAATGTGAATGACCATCGCTGCAACAACGTTTTGTCAAGCGCAGACCTGTCCTTTGCTGACGCCACAAATCAGTTTTGAGAACATTCTAAGGTGTCACACGCCAGTGTCGTGTTTGGCACGGAGCGCGATTTTTAGAGACCTGAATAGATGAATGTGCGAGTATGATGACTCAGCAACCACGTGTACTTCAGCACCCTTGGCTTACTACCATATCCTTCTTTGGGTTGCGTGTAACACCTTTGACTCTCTACTTTATCACAGAAGTGACTGCA